ATAGTTGGCTACAAGAGTATGTAAGTGTTACGGGACCTTACCCATAATAACATAATGGACTATTCCATACGTAATAAATACTGCAACTCAAGGGGAAGCAGGGAGTTCAATCTGAAGTCGGACGACCGGCTGCCCGGCTGATCGGTTGAACTCTCTGCCTTCGGGCGGAGAGGAACCCGAACGAGGCTACGCCGAAGGGCGGAGTCTCTTTCGGGGCGGTAAACCGACCCTGAACCCGTTTATACGGATTCAAAGGGCATATTTTTGGCCGAGCCCACGGGCTCGGAGATCCCACGTTAAACCGGCCTTGTGCCACATGATACCCTTTCAGTCTGAAGTCTGGAGTGAGGTCCGTCAGAAGTCCGTCAGGAGTCTGTCAGTCAGAGCGAGCGAGTCAGTCAGTCGAGTCAGAGGCAGTCCGAAACAGAGTCGCGTTCAGACAATTACTACTAAACCTGATTGTTCGTACTAACTCTTTATACTTCTCTGTATATATTCCTGTTTGTAATATATCTGTGTTATTCCATATCCGCGTTCGAGTTCTTCTTTATTGGTTCTACCTTGGACTATCACCGTGGTACAAGGAACCGGACCATAACAGTAAGACTATTACTATTTAATATTATGCTATGCCTATATTGGCAATAACAGCGATAAACGCGAAGGAAATGAAGGAAAATATCTTCAGTGACCAATGCCAGTCTCTCGCAGACTCCAACGTATGTTTGCCAACGACGTGTTCTTGGAGAAGTGGACAACCGAACAAAAAATAAAAAATAAAAAAATAAACTGACATAAAGTGCCATTAAATCATTTCTGCAAGAAGAAATCGATTTTTTAATGTCTTGTCGTGATTTTAATGATTTTCTTTTTGTTTTCTTCATCTTTTATTTCTAGACTTCTCTCTTTCTTTCTATACCTTTTTTTTTTCATTCTTTCTTTCTTCCCTTAGTTTTTATCCCTTCTTTCTTATCTCTGTTTTTTTTTTATCTTTTTCTTTCTTTCTCTTTCTTTTTTTCTATCTTTTTCTCATATTTTCCTTTTATTTGTTGTCGCTGTCACAACGGGACAATGGCCTAGTGGATAAAAGCGTTGGTTTATAAATTTGGCGACATCGTAGTTGTGAGTTCAGTTCAATCTTAGAACTAAATAGAAATCAGAACTCGATGATATCTCTAGACTGGAATCGGAATAGACTCCCCCCCCCAAGTCCCCGTAGATTAAATAAAGGATCTAATTCAGAAATCCCTGTAGAAAACTGCTCTCTATTACCCACCACAGTGAATCCTCCCTGCCTCACATTAGAATTTTTGTTTTTTTTACTTTTTCGTATTTATTCGTTTTCTTTCTATTTTTCTTCTCTTCTATTTTCTGTCTTTATTTTTCTTCATTTTTCTTCTCTTTCCTTTTCTTTCTTCGTCTGTTTCGCATTCTTCTCTCTTTCCACCTCTCTTTGTTTTCACTCTTTTCGCTTCATGCTGAAATCAAAGCTAAAACTGTTGCGTGCATTGGGACTTCTCAGTCTTTTTAAACGCCTGCGAGTCTTGGACATTAACAGCAGAATTACATGGAAGAATCCAAGCATTCGAAATGAGATACTACAAAACCCTTATCAAATCGCGCTAGCAGCCAAATGACGCAGTGCGAGACACCATCAAGCAAGAAACAAGCCCGCTAGACGATCCCATATCCATGATTTTCTTTTATGCGCTTTGTCACTTCAGGACGTAACCGATTATTATCCTCCACATCTTCTTATCCTTTGTAGCTCTTAATAAGTTTTTTTTTTGTTATTTCTCCCAAACTCTGTTCTAATATCCATTTAATTCAGAAATCCCTGTACAAAACTGCTCTCTATTACCCACCACAGTGAATCCTCCCTGCCTCGCATTAGAATGTTTGATGTTCAACTACACGAGATCACCATCAAGTACGTTACGCGCTGTTTTCCTCTGTCCATATTTCTCTCAATCTGTCCTATGAGTATCAGATTTTCCAAGCCCTCTTTCCTCATTACGTATCCCAGAATTTTCAACTGCCTCTTCTTGTTAAGTTTCTCCAAAACTACGTCGTTGCTCACATGTTCAGTCCACAGTATCCTCTGCATCATTCTGCAGAATTGCATTTCTGTTGCTTCAAGTCTGTTCTTCATCTTTGAGGAGAAACGGCATTTGTTGCCATACAGGAGGACAGATATCATGTAACAGTTCAGTATTCTTTTCCTTGTTTCTAAAGAATATTTTCTGTGTATTCATACTATGCTTGTCTTTTGGAATGCACCTTTGACCATCTGAATACGTCTTCGGATCTCAGTGTCGTATTTTACGTCCTCTGTAAGATCACTTGGCAGATATTTACATTTTTGTACTTGTTTGATTTTAGCATCCCCGGTTTGTAATTTGCATTTTGGGATCACCCCTTTTGCTGATAACCACGCATTCTGTCTTCTTATTTATTCCTTTCTTCTTCGCTATATTTTGTAAGAGTTTTTGTAGTTTCCTTCCTGTGTCTGCTATAAGTGACATTTATTAAACAAAATATCCACCATGAAAAAGAGAAATTTGAAAATGGTACAGCCACGTCGTAAGAGCCAATATTTTTTTTTTCCATTGACATCCTACAAGTTGTCACCTTAGGCAAAAGAAGAGGAAGAAAGAGGAAGATATGAACTGACGTCACTTTGTGGACTGGATAATCATAGAGGGAGCTGGTCAGTATATCGGTTATAATGCTGTTGCTGCTGCTGCTGCTGCTGCTGCTGATGATGATGATGATGATGATGATGAAAAGAATTATAATACAAGCAAACACAACATTCTTTCGTTGATTAAAGCACTAAGATTTACTTTTGTAAAACCAAAAATAATTCATAACAGAATTACACTATAAAATGATTGACTCAGCGGGTTTTATTTATTTTATTTTTCTGCCAGTTTTTTTAATAATTTTTTTCCTTATCATTCTTTCAGTTCCGTTTAAATACTTTTCGTTTTCTTTCATTTTTCTTCTCTTTTAATTTCTATCGTTATTTTCCTTCTTTTTTCTTCTCTTTCCTTTTCTTTCTTCGTCTGTTTCTCATTCTTCTCAGAATGAAATCAAAGCTAAAACTTTTAGCAAAACAACAGCGCCATTTAGATGGATGTTATACACGTCTTTTAAGAAGAGTGCTTAATCTCTCATGGCGAAATCGCCCAACTCTAGAAATGATATATGGAGACTTGCCAAGAGTATCAACCTTAGTTTGTAAGAGACGTGTCCAGTTCGCCGGGCATTGTGCACGTGCCACAGATGAACTTGTGTCATCATTTGTACTCTGGAGGCACCCATCATCTGTCAATCGATCACGCAAGTTAACCTTTCCAGATAGGATAAAACGAGACACATTGATCCCTAAGGAAGATCTTTTAGGTGCTATGACAGATAGGGAATACTGGAGAGGTGTAGTGAGTTCAATCTCGGCTGAGGCCGCAAGATGATGATGAAAACTTTTGCGTGCATTGGGCCTTCTCAATCTTTTTACATGCCTTTGAGACATTAACAGCAGAATTACAGCGGAAAATCCAAGCATTCGAAATGAGATACTGCAAAGCCATCATCCGATGTAGACCGCACCCAAATGCCGCAGTGCGAAACACCATCAAACAAGAAAGAAGCCCGCTGCACGACCTCATATCTGCCATCAAGAGAAGAAATTTGAAAATGGTATGGGCACGTCATAAGGGCCAGCAATTTTTTTTTAAAGTGGCATCCTACAAGGTAACACCTTAGGTAAAAGAAGTGGCAGAAAGAGGAAGCGATAGACTGACAACATCACTCAGTGGACTGTGCTATCCTTTAAAGAGCGTGAGACGTTAGCACGCAACGGAGAGATTTGGAGGGAGTTGGTCAGGTGCGCAGAGACCCAACAACCACAACCATTCGTGATAGTGATGTTGCTAATGAAGATGATGATGATGATGATGATGAAAAGAATTACAATACAAGCAAGTACAGCATTTTTTATTGATTACAGCATTAAGATTTACTGTTCTAAAATCGAAAATAACGTATGACAAAATTACACTATAAAATGAATGACTCTTAAAAAGAAAACTGGTCCATTTGTAAACATGCCTATGTCTTTCTAACGACTATCATAACAATCTCGGAAAACATTTTAAAATAACTTCATCGATAAAAGCCAGTTTAATGTCTAACCGTTCAAATTACAAGGTAGATGATTTACAATGTAAGTAATTAACAAGCGAAATGTGGACGGTATCTTTTTTTTTATGAAGAAGTCAAAATGTTTTATTTGAGAATGAAACGTCATTTCAAAAAGAGAAGGAAAAAACAAAAAACGTAATAGTCAGGCAACGATTAATTTGGAAATGTATGACAAATTGCCAACAATTCGTTGTTCGAATATTTAAATAAGATCAAGCACAAATATTTTTTTGAAAACTTTTCTTGAAATCGTTTAAAATTCAAATACATAAGGAAAAGTTTTAATAGAGAAATCAAAACGTAAAGAGATCGTAGTCGAGATAAAACAGGCCTTATTTACGATATAAAAATATAAAAAGTCTTTGGTAAAAATTCCTATTACCATTACCAGATTTCACAACATTAAAAGTCTGCGAATCGCCACTTCGAGTCGTTTTCAGTCATTACGACCTTTGTCAATGCCAAAGAAAAGTAAAAAAATAAAAATAAAAACAAAGCAAAAATGCAAAACTTGTCTATTTTATTAATTTTCTTACTATTTTCTTAATCTCGTTTTAAATGGCTTGCTTATCAACATACTGGGAGCAGATATTAAAGAAGAAACGGAATCCATTAGCCTTCTTCTTAATTCACGATTTAAAACGTGCGTCGTAATTCAGTTTCAAGTGACTTATATACAAGAGGGCACCGGCTTTTGTATACGGTCAGCGAATTCAGCAGAGACTGTCAGCCATAATGTAAACGACCGTATACAATAAAAAGAACAGATTGCGAACAAAATCCAAGAAACGAACCTAATTATTCCGACGGCTTATCTTTTTATTTCTGCTCGAGCGACTTGCAATAATGTGAAAAGAACGGTTTGAAAAGAAAAGACGAAAAGAAACGACAGGGTTGTTTATAGAAAGAAAGAAAAAAGATAGATAAATAAAACTGTAGAAAAATGCCTATTCCTTGTAAAAAGGATTTTTCTTGTTTCGTTTTATAAGCCTTTTAAAATTAACAAAAAAAAATTACTGGAGGAGGACAACAGAGATATTATTAGAATGGTGTTGAACAAAATAATTAAGAAAAAAAAATAGTAAAATTTCATTAAAAAACGAAAAATATTTTAAATAAAGAAAATGTTATTTACGCTGACGATTTCGTATCGTTTTTCTCGCTTTTTCCTCTGTTTTCCTCTTCCGTTTTTATTCGTTCTGTCAAGTTTGGTCTTCATAAGGAAATCATTTCTGAATTTACACAATTTTTTTCTTTAAATCTCTGTGTCAATTTTACACATAAGTTAATTATACATCCAAACAAATGACATTTACCGATTCCACGCGGACACATAAACTTGATTATCTCCAAGCAAATGGCTCTAAATCCACTGACCATGGAATTTGCTTTCCATATCAATCAGACTGACATTCCAACAGATACCGACAGTTACGACTGCAGCAATAGACACGCCTTGCAGACTGGGCAAAAAGAGGAGACAGTGAAAGCTATACTTGCAATAAAATGATAGCCACCTTTTGGATGCAGCATGCACATCTAATTTACTATCACATACAACAAATTGTAATGATATATATGGCCACGTGATGCGCGTATGTATGTGTGTATATATATATATATATATATATATATATATATATATATATATATTGTAGTGGATGCGCACAGCTGATGAGTCCCAAATAAAAGGACGAAACGGCCGTCCAGTGCTTTCTGCATTCTGTTGAGGTTTCTACCAGACTCGATGAATTTTAATTAATTCATTGAGTCTGGTAGAAACCTCAACAGAATGCAGAATATATATAGTAAAGGTAAGAAATCCGTTGGTATATAAGCCAAGTGGATCCTAGTAATATAAAATATTAAAACTGATCCACAAAAAGAGCCCAATGTATTTATTACAGAGCAAATAATTAATACACAATAAAATCTAAATCACCTCATAAGAGGAATAAGCTTATCTAAACCGAGGAAATTATTTGAATAAGAATGACGAATTTCGATGGTTGAAATAAGTTTATTCCCTTATGAGGTGATTTGGGTTTTTTATTATATATATATATATATATATATATATATATATATATATATATATATATATATATATATATATATATTATATATGATTTTCTTTGGACTTGGAGATTGAACACTGGACGATTGTTTTCGCTTTGGTTTAATGTTTTTTGGTTCTTTCTTTTTTTATTCCCATTTTTCCTCGGGTAGCGATTTCTTCTACTGCAAATTGAGCTATCCGAGTTTTTTTACAAAACGAGTAAGTACCACATTTATTTTATATATATATATATATATATATATATATATATATATATATATATATATATATATATATGAGTCTGTCTATATTTCTGAGATGAGGTATTATGTACAGTATTTACATTAGTCGGACTATTGTCCTCATCTTTGTCGCCATATTTGTCACAACGTTTCGGCCGTTGTACGCTCCGGCCTTCTTCAGGTGGTTGGAATTTCGAACTGAACCCTTTATTTCACTCACTGGGGTAGACTGTTCTAGTTCCACGTGCATTGTTTGATGGATGTCTGTTATCAGTTATCTCCTGCTAATTTTCCCTCTGAAAGTTCTCCACTGCCTTAACCGGGTATTGAACTCACCTTCTTTGGGTCTGTCACTGGATCTAACCAACGCCTTTATCCACTGTTGGTTAGATTCTGTTGGTACAGTTCTAGTCCTGACTGAGTCTGTATATTTTTCTTTAATAAGTTTTGTTGAATATTCAGGTCGGTAGACAAAAATAAATAAATATACTATTAGATAAATAAAAAGGTCGTCTACGAAAATTAGCGTTTAAGTAAAAAAAATGTTAGATTAATAAATTAAAAAATCCATTACTTCTTTATAAATTGCTTTGTTTACGTTAGGATACGAAACTGAGCCGATATGAATGTTTCGGGAGCCTGAGAATGATTTATTTTTACAGTGTAACCCGGATATAAGAGAGTTATCGGGACCGGAGAAGAAATCTCTTATATCCGGGTTTCTCTTATATCCGGGTTTGGTCTATTATATATACATTAACACAGGCTCTAATTTGGGACCAGAGAAAATCTCTCTTATACCCGGGTTTCTCTTATATCCGGGTCTCTTATAACCGGGTTACACTGTATAAACCTCTATTCCACTTTGCATAATCGACGACGCACTCGGTGGCTTAGTCAGTATAAACACGTCTGGTTTAACGATGGTTTCTCCTGGGGATACTGGTTTGAATCCTGCTGGAGAGCGCAAATTATTCTTTAATAATAATAATAAATAAGCAGGGCGTCTACTCAAATATGGGTATCCATTAAAAACAACGTATAAGTAATAAAGTATCAATGTGGATCCGGCAATCTCATTCAGTTATTATGTTGGTGACCTGCATACAAGTTCACATATTGTGGGACAGCAAGGGTCTGGAGCCATACCCTCAGGAATATTTGCCGATGCTTTTCGCCATTGTCTTACATCTCTTAGCCGGTCAATGCGACTTATTCGAAATTACTGATATCACCCTGGCACAGTTCTAGTTATTGTATCCCGGGCAACAGTGACAGCCGAGAGGTTACACTTTCGCTTATCTTTATACCTAAGCCACGGCCGTCCAACAGTCCACTCTGAGGACCTTAGGTATTTTGGCGGCACCCATCCTTGCAATGTGACCAGACCAGCGAAGTTGTGATTGCACAAGGAAAGCCTCAATTCCACCAAAGTTGCATTTTGTGAGAAGATTAGTATTGCACACGCTGTTGTCAAAAGTATACCCACGGATCGCACTTTTGTGAAAGACATCCATCTGATTGATACGGGATCTATATGGGGTCCACGATTCTGAGCCGTACAACAATGCGGTCAAAATGGCTGCTCGATAAACCCGTATTTTGGTGTGCAATTTGATACACCTCTCATTCTATAGGCGGTGGCAAAATTTTAAAATGTACTTGTAGATTATATATATATATATATATATATATTTTGGTTTGGTGCATAATTATCAGGCGTTTGTATAGGTAAGTTATTTGCTTATAAAAACTGCTGTTTTGTTTACTTTTTTAATAAAAATATTTTATTTTCAGGTGTGTGTGTGTGTGTGTGTGTGTATAGATATATATATATATAGATAGATATATATATAAAGGATCGTGATTACGATTCCAGTGTAGTAAATTATAACCATGGAATATTAGTGTTTGACCCTCATATATGTGCGTGTGTGTTACAATGAATCATTCATACAAAAAGTAGATTAGTAAAGTTAATGATATAAAATGGCAAAAACTCTTCGCAAACAAAATTTTAAAGTTGCATTAACTTACGAACCACTGGATGAATGTTAGGATCCTTGTTTTTAATAACTACAAGTTGTATAAGGTCTTTTTTTAATCTGCTAGTACTTTCAACTTTACACACAGTCATCCTCAGGCATGGAAATTATTTTGTTTTTAGTAAATCCAGGTAGCATTGGAGACGAAAGATTAAATGCGAATCGAAATATGTAATATAAATTGAACTGCACCATATATTTGATCTAACGTGCATATATTCGGGATAACAGCTTTATTTATTGAACAATTTAGTTCATGACACATTGACCGATAAACTCCTACAACAAAAAAATTCTCAAATTGCCATATTAGTAAAAAAACGCACACTCTTAAATTTAAAAAAAAAAGAATCAACCTTAGCGTTGCGACTGCACGTTCCAAAAGTTTTTATCCGTTAACAATAACACATTTCTAAAAAAAAACATATTTCGATTGCAACGGGATAAAATTGTGCTAAAAGCCTATGAAATCCACGGTTTGCTCTATTTTGTTCAAGTACTTTCGACCGTGTCCGTCATTGTCAAGAACTGGATGATGTCAGGGTTCCTGGGAGTAAAAGACAATGAGAAGAATATAGTGAAGTAGAAAGAGTAATAAGGGAACAGTCGCAGGAGGACAGAATTTGGCGATTGTCTCTGCCTTTCAATTTCTGAAGATGGTAGGGAGCAGGAAATCCAGAAACCTGAAGATGTTTCCATAAGCGAGAAGTCCGAGAAAGAAAACCATTGGAATAAAACTTACGTTTACATCTCGCTAGTTCAACATTAAAACGATGAGACCTAACTGCCAATTGAGTTGCACACTTGAATTCACGAGGTTGAGATACCAAAAATTAAGCCTCGTTAAGTAAAATTACCTTGAAAATGTTTCTAAAAAAGACAGTGGGAAGCTAATGAAGCATTGCAATGCATGCTTCATAATATCTACGACTATCACTAAATATATTAATATTAGGTTGGTGCAAAAATAATGACGTAATAATGTCGTTTTTTTAACGTATTTTTTAACGTCAAAAAACGACATTCTTACGTCATTATTTTTTTATCCAACCTAATATATGTAATATATCTCCGACTATCATTACATATATTAATATACAGCTTTACATAGATTTTATTCTGATCTGATCGAGAATATACTCGATTTGCCCGTTTTATATGCAGGTTTGTAAACTATTAGGTTGGTGCAAAAGTAATGACGTAATAATGTCGTTTTTTGACGTTAAAAAATACGTCAAAAAACGACATTATTACGTCATTATTTTTGCACCAACCTAATAGCATATCCTGATTAATATCTCGTGTATAAAACAACTTGTTTATTATACGCTGAACTGGTGTGACTATACTCTGGCCATTATACTGGTTTATTCCTGGGCGTTAAAATGGGACCTTATCGATATTTATTTGGGTGAGGGATTAGGAACACCAGCTGTTGTAGATGTCATTTGCCAGATTGAGAAAAGCTTAGGGGACGATGTGAAAAACCAGAGTCCCGAACTTTTTTTTTTTTTTTTAAATTAGACCAAATCGTATCTATAAACCTGACCTACCATCTGGACGTGTTACTTATTTGCAACGCCAGAT